CTTGTATTTAATATATTTTGCCTAGTATTAAAACCATATAAGCTTTCTTATGGTGAGGATGTGCATGGTATATTCTTTTTCATCTTTTACTTCCAGTGTATTTAAGTCTTCATATGTAAAGTGTATCTTTTTGAGGGGAGGGGAAGACAAAACATATTTATTCCATGTCAGGTCTTAAAATATACACTGAACCATTCCCTGTAATTATCAGCATCAATAAAGGAAGAGTGTGCCTTACCAGCTGCTCTGCCCAAGCTCACCAAATAGCTGAGGGTCCCCTTGATGCGTGCAGTCTTCTCCCTCACTGGTGCAGTCAATGAGGTTTTCTACCCTCACAGCAAAGGGTTCCTTAATAAATTCACTGTGTGCAGACAAAAAGAAAGAATCTGATCTGTTGATTATTCCTCATTTAAACTATGGCTTCATCCCTATCTTAGGATTTAACTATCTTTATTTTCTGATCAAAATTTTTAAAAAGGGGGGCAGATGAGGGGCAATAGAGATTATATTGTGTTCACATAGAGACTTTAAATTCTAGTCAGAGCTAAGACCCATATTAAAGGCCAACCAATGGTTTAAAGGAAATAACTACATGGAGTGTAATCTAATCGAGACATACATGAGTTGAGTTTTATGATTAACCTCAATAATGTAAGAAAATAATTCACAACTAAATTGGTGTCCGTGGTTTACCGGGTATGTTCTCTTGCGCATGGGTAGGTAAAAGTCTGGAAAAATGGGTTCTCTCCATGCCCACTGACAAAGAAAGATGGCTCCTGGTTTGATGTTCAGAGAAAGTCCTGTTGCCAGGCAGTGTCTGCAACTCACAGTGACACAGGAAAGTAATTCCCAATGCTGGGAATCACTTGAAGTCCAAGTGGGTCTTTGGCTTCGTGCAAGAAGGAATTCAGGAGCAAGCCAACAGGATAAAGTGAAAGCGAGTTTTACTCAGAAAATATAGAAAACCTACTCCACGGACACAGTAGAGGCTAGCTCTCCCTGCGGAGGAGAACTGGCCCCATGGTTCTTTAGTCCTTCTATTTAAGCAACAGCTTAATAATAGGCTAAACAAGGGAAGGAATATTCACGTTATTTCTTGGAAAGGGGGCGTGTTTTCCCAGAATTAGGGTGATGCCCTCCTTTTGACTAAATATGGTCAAACAGGAATGGCATGGAGTCAGGTGTATGATGGGAGTGGGAGATTTCCCTAGAAACATTTATGGTAATGAAATGTGTAATGAAGCTGCAAGGTCAAGAAGCTGTCAATTCCTCTGTCATCTTGGTTCCAACTGGTTGGAACTTGTCCTACCTCCATCTTGTTTTGATCAGGATAGCTTGAAACTTTGTTTCCAGACTTTCTGACTCAGTTAGGCAGTGTCCACACAATTAAGCAATGCCTGCAGCAGTGCCTCCCAGTTCCCTGCCTCTACATTGAGTTTAGCAGTGCAATGGAGTAGAGAACTTGGGAGATCCAGGCACAGTCTGAGGTTGGGCACTTGACTTTACCTCCACACCTTGGTACTTGTGTATTGGATTTGCCTTATGCACCAGTTCTTTCTGTAGCCTGGCCAGCTCCTCCTTTTTCTGTTCTTCCTTCCTCCTGTTGCCTGGCCTCCTCCAACTGCTGGACTTGGTGTGCTTCACCCTCAGCCATTCTCTTCTCCAGCTCCTGCTGTTCCTTGGCTGTCTTCTCAGTAGGCAGCTGAAAAGGTTCCTGAACTAGAGAACCACAAGGGCCCTCAGCAATTGATTTTTGCTCTGTCTTGGGAACAAAGGGCTCCTGGGAGATGACAGCATTTGGACGAGCCTCAAAGCAATCTGCTTCTTTTTGCTGTTTCCATTCTTCCTCCAGCTGGTGCTTCTAACTCTGCACTTTCAAAGATCATCTTTTGTCAGTCTCCAAGTAGAAAGGCTCAATCTTGGTCCCATCCGTTACCTTCCTCTTTGGCAGGTTAATGGTGTCATAATGAGGCAAGGGAAGTGCCTTGAACTTGGGCACTTT